CCCCAAAACCCCAAAACCCCAAAATTTGCAAGTTAAGTTATATTGTGAATAATTTCGAAATAACATTTCAAAATCGAGAAAATTACAAAATGATGCCTAAAATTAAGAAAAAGCAATTAAAACCTTAAACAAGCTAGACGATAGGCTAAGATTCGTCCTTAAGGACTTCCATTGAAACTCCTATGAATGCAAATGATATTAAAGTATAAATTCTATAAGTGATAATTATAGAGCGTTAAAAACCTAAGAGCTAGATCTCAATAAGATCCTAATAGGTCGAGGCAGCAATAGAACTTGAAAAATGAATAATCTTATTAAGATATTAAGATCCCTCAAATTGAGACGGATAGGTCTTAAAGAGAGCTTAAAATAAAGTTTTCTGGTGTGCATAAAAAAGCATTAAATAGTTCAATAGTAGTGAGAGATTAATTACAAAATACTTCAACTATTTCTAAAAGATCAAATAGCGGTGTCTCAAGGCAAAGCACATCAAATTAATCCAGAAAATATCAATCGAATCTAGGCCATAAACCTCCAAAGAATGTATCATCAAGAAATAACAATTACTTTGAACCTAAAAGCAAAAATACTTATTATGATGATAAGTCTATATCTCTTGGCTCATCTAATTGATTGATTTTACCAGAAATAAGAACAACTATTAAAAAAGGTTCGGTAAAAGAGAGACTATAATAAAAACTGTAAAATCTCAGTCGAGATAAGAGCCTTTCTCCTAGATCAAAAAAGAAAATTTTAACAAGATTATAAGGCTAAATGACTGATGGAAATACACCATCTAATAAAGGTGGATAATCTACGAAATCTAAAAGCAAAAGTAAATACACTTCTAAATTTGAGTAAAAGAATAAAATACAATAAAGTATGACAAGATCATTCAGACAGAAACTTGGCTTGTATACTGCTCATTTAGATCCTAAAAATGCCACAAAGTTTGAAAACTTGCCCATAGGTAATTGCCCTTATTGCTTAAAGCAAAGAGTATTTATGGTCGATTTTGATTGTGGGCACAGTTATTGTTCTAAATGTGCCTTGAACTTAGTTAAAATAACAAAAATTAAGAAGGGATTTAAAGTAAGAATTATTACGATAATAATTATAGTTTTTCAATAGAACAGGAGAGGAAGTTGTGAAATGCCCAAAATGCACCCAGATTAATGTATTAAATGAAGAAAAATTCTAGGAACTGTAGGATATTCGAGAGTATGATGAAGAAAGAATTAAAAAGATGGAAAAATATCAAGAGTCATTAAAGAGTAACTATATAGGACCTCCTTGCCATTTATGCCCAAATAATCTTGAAAAGCCTCCTCTACCTGCATAATTTGAGTGTTTAAATTGTGAATCAACCTTGCTTTGCTATGATTGTAAAATTAAACATTAGAGGAATTCCAGATATAAGGATCATAAAATAGTTAGGTATGAAGGTACTATAGAGGTACAAAAAACAGAAAATATTTCATGTCCAGAGCATAAGGAAAAGTATCGATTATATTGTTTTACTGAGGAAAAACCATTATGCATATCTTGTAATTCTGGTTAAAACCCTAAGCATTCTACTCACTATGTAAAGCCTTTAAGTTCAGTTTTAGAGCAAGCTGAGAAAGAAAAGGAGACATTGAAATAAGAGATTTAAGTGGAGATAGAAAAAGTAGAGACTGCAATTCAATACTTTTCAGGTATAGAGGAAATATTTGTAAACTAAAAATAACTATACTTGAAAAAGCTTTCAGCTGATTTTGAAGTTATATATAAGCTTGTTGAAAGAAAACATGCTGAATTAAGAGATAAGATTAGTACGACATATGATTAAAATTTAAAAGAGGCTTACTAGTATGTCGAAGGATTAGAAGCACTTAAGGATACAATAATTTAACTTGAAAAAATGGATATTAAAGTTGACATAGATTAAGTTAATCTGAATAAAGCAATAATGTATAGACTAAGAGAAATTGAAACTGAACTAGATTTTGAGGTATAAAGTCAAGATATGGATTTAATAGAATCAAGATTTATTCAAGAGCCATTTTAGAAGATTGAGAGGTCTCTTATAAATTTTGACTTCTTCCCTATTTAAAACAGTTAACTCAATAACCTCTAAAAAATATTTACTCTAGGAAACTCTAAGATATTGACTCTAGATGCTTTTACTACTGAGCTGCTATTTGTTATGCCTCAAAAAATGAAAAAAGCTGAACTTATATATTAGCATTCAACTGAATTAACCGCGATATAAATTGAGGCAAATTAACTAAAAGCTCAGTAACAGTAGTAGCAATAGCAAAAATAAGCAGAGACGCCTAAACACGGATCTCATACTCCAAAACCTGGTTAATCTACACCTTCACCCGTTCCAGATATTAATTAAAATGATCTACTATTGCCAGTTACAGGAGCCTAGAGATTTCATTAGAAATGTGATAACAGAGGTCCAACTTTAGTAATAGTAAAAGCGAATGAAGGTCATATATTTGGCGGATTTAATCCGACAAGTTGGGTCTCAGAGTTTATGTATAGTGAGTGTGATGATGCCTACTTATTCTCTATTACAGATGGATAAGGTAGAAAACCAATTAAATGCCCAATCAAATAAGAAAAGAAGGATAAAGCTATTAAGCAAAATGAGAAAAGCTATAGTCCAGCTTTTGGAGAGGCTAATATTTCAGATCTTTTTATTGCCTTTAAAAATCTGAGTAATTCTTATAGTATGCTGGGAAATGTATATAAGTTGCCCAAAGGTTATAAAAGTGAAACATTTTTAGCTGGAAAGCATAATGATTGGAAAATAGATGAGATAGAAATATGGGCTGTTAGTTATTGATAGATTATACTAATGATTATTAAATGATTGAAGTTGTGATTTTATTGAGATTATAGTTGTATAAAATTGGCATTATGGGGTTTTGGGGTTTTGGGGTTTTGGGG